ATAAATACTTATATGTTAATAACTTACAAATATCTTTGAAAATTTAAAACTTATAACCGTTTTTTCACTTTATCATTATTTTTTGTTGTTAACATTTCTTATTTGCCTGTATTTATTATTCAAATTAGATCCAACTTACTGTATTTAAGTACTTTTTTCTGTTCTTAGATAATTGAAGCCATTGAACTGAATAAAATGGCATTTTTTATTTTTGAACAATTTACTTTTAATAAAAATGGTTAGTTTATCTCCTGGAGTTTAGAAGGAAATTTTTTATTTTTCTCAAAATAATTGGATTCTTGAGACATCTAAAAAATTAATTTTTTTTATGATATTCATTCTATAGAAAGTGATATAAACAGTCAATCAGTATTAAAATGATTTTATTTGAGTTAAAATTATGTTTTTTCCTAGCTAATGTTTTATTTTTATTTTAGTTAGTTTAAATAAAATTAAACTTTCATATTTTTGATATAATGTATTTAATTAAATGATTGATTAACACTAAAAATTATTTGTAGTTAATATATCCAAATGAATAATTTATTTAAGTGTTGCTTCAATGCTCTTTCTATTAGGATGATATACAAAATCTAGAGAACCCACTGTACTTCACGGTCCACCTCCGTCATTGGCTCGGAACACAAATAAGGATCTTTCATAGCGTGGACTGACCTGTTTGTCTTTACCTCGTCCACTGGCGGGGGAAAGGAGTGGGGGTGTTTGTTCAGTGCTCACACTCTCTCCTTTCATTCACCCGTCCACCAACCATTGTTCCGTTACTTAGGACAGAACAGGTCACTATCCTAGTCAGTCCCGTGTTTATTTTGGCAATCGAACATCCCAGTTGGATTTAGACTGGATTCTTCTGTTTATTATAGACCATGTCTGTTTCTCCATATAAAGAATTCTATCCAATTATTAAAGAGGGAAAAAAAGAAGCTTCTGCCCGAGTATCCCGCGGGTGTGCGACAATTAGTATCCACCGGGAAGTCTTTAATTGCCCTTTATACAGCTAATTTGCGACGATGTTTCCATAAAATAGTCACTGCTGTGGCTACGTGCCTCGTCGAACCAATCGTCCCTAGCCTTCATCGATCGTGAGCCGGGCACAAGTGGCCACTCCAAGCGGCACCCGGGGACCTGGCTAAAGCCTCCGTACATGCCGTTGCTAACCAGACGTCTGCAGGTCCATTCATCGGACGGCTAGCAACATCATGTACCCGTCTCCTCCCCCATAAGAATCGTCTGTAGAACGTGAGTCACTTGGTTCCCTATCGTTTCCCCAACTGCTCTGCTGCGCCCCATACTTTGAAGAGTAGTAGTCGATTCTCATTCGCGTCGATCATTGTTAATTAATAATTATATTTTTGGTTAGGACAGTGGGACGATGTACGATAGACTATCCCGGGTACAGCATCCGTAGTTCTTTTTTGCGACGCTAGATGTCGCTAGTTACTAAAGGTAAGGGTTTCGCCCGAGGTTCTCGGAGATGTAAAACGACTGATCGGACGGTCTTAATCAAGTGTTGTTCATAAAAGTGAAGATGTACTCAGCCTGGTACTCGTGCACCCGATAACCAGGAAGGCTCCACGGTCTTTCCGATGCTCTTATCCCGTCACTGAGACGACTCTTCTCACCTCTCGTCGCTGATGTTACACGACCCCCAAATCATCAAGCGAATGTTCGAGTGGCGACAGTACTACAGTCGCCTTCCCGTAATTAAAAACGTCAGACACACTTCGTATGACATAGTGCACGTTAGAACAGTTTCCAATACGCACCGAGCGGTTTTCATTTAATTGGCTCTCTTAACTCTTAAGTGGATGGATTAGCAAACGGTTTTAAGGTAATTACGTAGTCGTAATTACATCCGGCGGAAGCTCAATCGGCCGTGTTCTCTGGATTCACTAATCCACTTCTGTTCGACGCTTAACCGAAGTCGAGACTATGGTTTGTGTGCAAACATGTCTGTAGCAGACCAGGAGGATGTGCTGGTAGCATCCTATTGGGCTACTTAACATCGTTGGTTCGTGACTTATCTGTCGGTTATCTGATACGGGAGACCCACAGCATCAGTACCAGTCATTGTCCGATCCCCCATCATTAGCGCCGCGTTCCCAAGGTAGCTTTTTTTAATTGGAGGATCCGGGCTGTATTGTCTATACAGAGCGTATAATCAGATCTCTTCGGTTCTTTTAAACTGCACAATTCGAACCGTCTTTGCATTCCACAAACAACAGATGAAGATCAAATCGATTTCTACTACAGTTCCTATTGATTTTGGGATGTTTGCCTATCCGACGCCGCTAGATTGGGTTCATGCACCAAGACCCGTCTTCTTGCACGGCAGCCATTTAATAATCTCACTGCGACTTCATTACATGGACGAGTGGTACTTCAAGTGGTTGGGATCCAATATCAGACTTCACCGACTACGCGACCGCTTCCCTCTGTACGTTGTCCCGCTTTTCTTTTTTGAATGCAACCTTCTGTTAGAAGAATTTCTCAAATTTTGAGTCCGAATACCTTGTATGGGACACGTGTCATCTTTCCATCCCTGTTTGCAGAAGGAATGTAAGATTCTATAAATTCTTCTTTATATCAAAATCATTAATGCTGTTTTGTTGCTATGATTATCAGTGGTGGTCTTTAATTCATGCAGAACAAAACGTCTAACAGGTTTTTTATTCTTTTCGAATTTGGAACATTCTTTACAGTAAGGTAATGCCAAAAAGTTAAGAATTAGATAACTTTATAAGAAGTTAAGGTCAACTTTCTTCATAAAACTGCAAATAATAAATAATTTATTTTATAAAAAATAATTTAATATGAAATTTAATTGTAATGAAATTTACTCTGTGGCCTTATGCTTTCTGGAGTAATTTTGAAGTATTGATCGTGCTGTGTTATGTTTAAAAAAATGAAGAAATCGTTAATAAGTCTGTTTGGATCTTTCATATAACTATTCAGAATGTTTACTTTATCACTGACATAGCATTAAAATATCTTGTAATGCTATGTCTGTGATCTGTGTAATGCTACGTGTGTGCATTGTTAATTAAATAGAGTATAATTCCATAAATTTACTGTTTTAATTTATCAAAATTCGGATTTCATTTCTTTTTCTTTTCAGAATTTATTTTGTAAACTTGAAAGTTTAATATTGTAGACTCTGGAAAGAACTATGTTCTTTATAAAATTATTAAAACATTGAAAACTGAAAGAAAAAACACATCTTCAAATAACTTGTTATTTGAAGATGTGTTTTTTCTTTCAGTTTTCAATAATATAACTTAGACAAAAAGTAAAGGGCTGTTAATATATTTTATGTAATTTACAACTAATAAAATTAATTCCAGAATATAAGTGTTAAGCATTTTAATAGCTGACAATAAAGTGGCTTCTTTTTCTTTATTTTATCTTTATATTTAACAGAATTTAACTTCGTTAAATCAATTATGAATAATTAAATAGTGGTGTTTAACTTCTTGGGAAAATGTTATAATTATTTATCAATTATTAGTAAATTTTTACAGACCGTTTTTGAAATACTTTTACAGAATAGTTTAATGCTTTATTTTGCCTTCTAATTTCGAATATGTTATGCAGAACCTGTTTTAATGTAGACAAATACTAATAAAATACTGTTAATACGAAAATGTATCAGTCATACTGATAATTAAATGATAAGTGAGATGAGATGATGACAGTGAAAGTTCTTTTTTCGGTTTTAAAGGAATCACCTAATGATCGTATGGGCCATAATCACTTGTTCTATTAGCGAATTTAATGGTTAAATCCATTAAGCGATCACGCCCCATCCTCACATGTTCAGTGTAGGCATTGTAAGGAAAGTGCCCTCTTCTACTTTCCATGACGAAGGGTTGCGTCCACGCCAGATGACCATGCAGTTCATCATTGCCAACACCAGCTAGCAAATGGGCGTGAACATACCTGACCCAACCGAAATGTCAAAGTCAGTATCGAAGGATTACCAGTGACAGCTTTTTGTCATTTTGTTTAGTCTTTAACAAGCGGATCCTGTGGCCAGCTGGCCCTTATTGTCCTATCCTCCACAGGATCCTGTTTACCCTCCGATTCGAGTACTTATTCATGTCATCAAATATGTCCCCTTTCACCCAGATGTCCACATTGTCCGCGTGGAAAATTTCGTCGACGAGGACCCACTTCACCCACAAGTAGTTCGTTCGATTGTGGAGCGAGACTCCCTACCGTTTCGGTGCGGGACAGCCGACACAATAGTATTAAAAATGCGAGGATTAAATCAAAGGATTTATGGAGAAAAGCTACATTCTATCAGAATTGTTGTTGAATTCCCCTCAAAATCTGGTGTTTTCCGTATTCTGATTTTTAAGAATTGATTTTATGAATTCCGCATCTTTTCTCCTCTCCCCCACACAAACTCCTGACTGAGAAACAGAAAAATACTTTTCTTTCATTCTCTCCCTCCAACCTCGATCTGAAGAGACTCCAGGTTGTCGTGTACATACTGTCCCAACAACATAGCCAGAAAGAGATGTCGAGAGCACTTGAGACGGTTCCTCCCTCACTGCATCCCCAACCAACCCCATTCATTTGTATGATTCATTTTAGGTTTGGGTCCTAACCGTCCGGGCTACTGTTTCCTCAAGTGGATCCGTCTTTTGTAACCATAGCAACGGTCTCAGTACCCTGTCCACATCATCTGGACTGGTATCCCCCATTGCTTCTCTTCCCACCCCTCTTCTCCATCCATCACAAGTTAACTAGAGGTGCGTTTACCTCTACACTATGTGATGTTACAGTTACACCTGTTTACTGAACACTCAACGTAAAGTACGGCTCGCGATACGGAATATCAACCGGTCATAACGTGTGCGGTCAACCATTGTTTACACGTGTATAAGGTCCGCGAATGTCCGGAAATTAAAGCGGTTCAGATGACGAACTCGACTTATGTACCTAAGTAACAATTTTTTCCCTTTCCTTTTTTTCAGATAACAGCATGCATTCGAGATACTCGAATCACTCAAGAAATTCCTGGGCTTATCTTACGGAAACCAGGTAAGTTAGATTTGTTAAAGGATGTTTTTCACCATATCGCGATTTGGAGAGCCTGAAAAGTGGGTTCGTTAGTAAGCTACGAATAATCCACTTAGCTGCGATGCAAGTTAGAAATCTCATTTGTAACTCTGTAAAAGGGTTTTGTTTTTTATTATTATTACAGTAGGGGTTCGCCTCAGTGGACCGATCCTTATCGTCAGCAGTTCAGTCCCTATTATTCGACACAGGCACATTGGGATCCCAGAAATCAGCAATATCCCGAACATCGTCAACCATATTCGGTAAATCATTTTTAATTGCTGAACTATGCCATATTTTCTCTCCTAAATTCGTTCTGTTCTTGCAGGGAGCGGCTGGTGCACGGTACCCAAACGTCCATTCCACTTACTATCGAAGATAGAAATGAACAAAATTCGTCATGGATGTGTTTTGTTATATATAATAAATCATTTTTATCTTGTCTTCGATCACTTTTTTTTTGTAATAATTATATTGTGTAGAATGTAGGATCTGGTGAGTAGAAAGGGTATTTAGTATCCATTTATATCTATCCGCGGTAGGATCTGTGCGATTTAACTTTAATAACCCATCCATACCCAAGCACATTCCCTGTGGCGCATCCATTAGTTGGACATGGAGACAGCATTAAGTAGTTTTTCATCTTTCTCTATTCCTCTTCCTATAGGAGACTGTTTCGATGGTTTGGGAGAGACGTGCGTGTTTAGAGGGCATTCGGAGAGTATTTACCAAATGGATGGAAACTTGTAGATTAAGAGAAAGTGTTTAAGAAATATCGATTATTGTAGAACGTTCCCGGTTATATTTTTTTTTTTTAGAAATCGTGTTTCCGAGGTGATCCAATCACCGATTTCTTATTACGATTAGAATAATAAAATTTAATCGTAGATGAATTAGCTGAAAATGGACGTTTACGTTCGATACCTGAGAGTTTACGTATCCGCATTTTACTTTGTATCGATTCTCTTTCCGGTTCGCCTTCTTACGCGTTATCCAATTTAATTTTCGGAAGAAAAAACTTTAGCAAAATTAACGAACCGCTTTTGCAAGAACAATAGATTTTGAAGGAAACGAAAGACAAAAAGATGGCCACCGTCAATCTCTTCCAACCCCCTTTCTGGTCTCCTACCGTTTTTAATTTTCCCTAGCCTCTTTAGAACAGCAGCTGAAGTAGAGAGAGCACGTTTGAAATTGCCACTTGAACTTCCATTGTTTGACGTCATCACCTATTGGCTAGTGACGTCATATAGGAAGTCTTTTGTGTTCAAGCAGACCCCTATTCAAGCAGTCTGAAGGATAACGCAGCTCATTGTGTGGACGTACTTTTCCTTTACTTTTTTGCTCTTTCTTCTGCAATCTCAATCAGAAACTGGGTAGTTATTGTGTTGGACGGGGACTAAACAAAAGGCACGCTCTAAATCAGAAGACCAATTAAGAACGATTAGACGCCCGAGTTTTTGGTTTAGTTTACAATTTTTCGCCGCTTTTTGATAACGATTCCGCACTGTTTGACTTTTGGTTTCGTGATTACTCATTCGACACCTCGGACCTTTTTTCAATAATGGAGATCATACGCTCCGTTAGAAATGTTTGAGTAACTTCCTTTCAACCCTAACAGTAGTCGGTGGGTGTGAAAAATCCGGTGGAGAGATGACTTTTAAAAAACGCCAGGTGATTATTTAACACTTTATTAATTGTTAGATCACATCTGGTAGTTCGCTTGATTTAATTCTCAGCAAGTAGATCGTGTTGAGGTTTCCCTCCATAAAAGCAATGAATGGCTCTCCCCTCATGAGGTTACTAAATTTTTTACTCCAAAATTAGTTTTTAATGAAACCGTTGAGTTCTGTTTATAAATAAATTGGTCAGGAAGTCATCTGCACTCCTATTTCCAAGAAATTATTGTTTAACGATGAGAGAATGCGAAATTTAATCAATATTTTACACAACTTTAGTATCGTAAATAACCAAAAATTATAATAAATAAATAGTTGATTTTATGAATTTGTAATTCTACATATAAATTGGCTTCTCACGTCAAAAATTAAAATAAAAATCCATTTTAAAACGACGATAACAGGAAAACAGTAGTAATTACAAAACTGACGCTAAATAACATCTTAAGTGTTCGGAGAAGAAAACAAATCGAAAAGTTTTGTTGAAACTCTTGTAGATGCCTCTAGGCATTGGATAGTTATTGATTTACTAAGGAATATCTACCAGTTTGGATTCCAATTTTAGGGTGTAGTTATTTTCTGATTATAACTGGAAAGTTTCATAATTAAATTGCGTTGAGGAGTCTTTAATAGAGGTTTCCACACTCGGTAACACGGTAGGAGGGCCTGCTTTGAAACAGTGGTGTTTGATCGGTAATTCGAAACTAGAACACTTTATTTGACCACCTGCTCCTAGACAATCATTAGAGTGTAATACGAGCCCTTATATTGTTAGACCCCATATTCGAAAGTCAGTGTAGCATATTGTTCGTGTATTGACATTCTGTACATACTGGAGAGTGTAGAAACGTCAATAACCGAAAGGTTTCAGAGCTTTTTCTGAAGAATTTTCTATATTATTTATGAGTAAATCGATTCGTGGGTTGTTTCGACGAGAACGAACTAATTGAGTGAAACAATAATAATATTACAGAAGGTCCTGATTATATTAACTACCGACTTCACCTTAGGAATACCGATTTCACCAATTGTACTGTACGATTAAATCGAAATAATTCATTTAATTTCGGAGTATAAAAATAAATTGTTTTTTATGTATATATTAATATTGATTCATCTGTACAATTTGCATTTAAAACATGTAAAATGCATTATTTCTTTATAAATGAATTTTTATGAAAATAAAAGATGAATTTTTAAAAAATTCTACAGTGATTTATTGGGCTATCCTTTATATACGTTATACAACAGTTTACTATACTTATAATACTTTGTTTAATGTATAAATTAAATGAAATTATAACTTAAAATGCTTAATAATTTCTGAGCCTAATATGGACTTCGAAATTATTTAATATATAAATAATTAACCGAACATTGTCATTTAATGTTTGATTAATTTAAAAAATACAAAATAATATGAGCTTTTTAAATTTAAAAACTATAATTAACGTTAAAACACGAATATTTTTTAAATTCGGATCCTTTAATTTTCTAGCTGAAAACATAAATCGGTTTGGTTATTAAAACCTCTTAAAATAAGAGAAATTCTTTAAAATTAAAACGAGAAATTTTATTTTTAATTAAATATTTTAAATAATTTCTCTAAATTTAAGAGGTTTTAATAATGGAAAATTTAATTTTTAATAAATATTGCTGCAAGTTAAGAAAATTTTAATGGAGAATTCTCACTTTTAAGACGTGGAAATGTCAAATAGTTTGACGTTTTATTGGTTAAAATTAATATTAAAAATATCGTTTATGCTGGAATATTTGAATATGCGGTCTCGAGAATGTAATTAATGCGATTATCCGAAAACTATAAAATAATTTTGCTCTTTAAAAAAAAAAAAAGAAAGAAAATTAAGAATTTTAAATTCTCAAACCTCAATGAAAATTGAATTGTGTAGATTTTCAGAAGAAATGTAATGTTTCGTACTTGAAATAATCGAGATAAAGGTCCTCAACGTTTCATCTAAGTAGCAAAATTTATTCCGATAATTAAATTTTTAATGTTCTTTCGGTATGGTAACTGTTTCTTATATGGAAATTGCATGATTTAACACGGTGTGAAAGAAAAAAATCTGAGATCCTGATAATTGTTTGCTTTATATCAATCTCGGATAGTGTTTTGTATAATTATAAATCAAAGAGAATTAGATTTTTAAAAAAAAATTAATATATTCCATATAAATCTATATTTTTGTGTGTTGTGACTCGTTAAAAGATCGAGCCTCGCATCAATTGTTGAATTTATCTAAATATTTGTATACGCTGAGAAGTGAAATTAGAACGTCGTATCTTCAAAATTAAATTTTGAAACTTTAAATAGATTTTTAGGATGTGATGTGATGTAAAAATTAAGTAAAAATTCCATCCCGCGTGAGGAAAAAGTTCGAACCTTTCTAGTATGATTGAGATGAATGAAATTCCTTGGTTTAAATTCTGCATTAATAAGTAATAGGTTAGTCAATACAGTGAAAGGTTTTTGAATATAAACTGTTTACTTTTTAAAGCTTTAAAAATAAATGAATACAGTTTATTCTATTGTAAATAAAAATTCAAGAAAAAACCCGAACAGATATTATAAAATATATACTTGTAATTACATCTTTATTGAGAGGAATTAAACTTTACATATTGTAAATTAATATTTAGAAAGTAAAATTGTATTTAATAAATTAATTCTTCGTGTAGATTGTGGGAAAGGTATAGGCCTAATAGTCTAATTTTTTTTCCTTTGATTCTACAAAAAAAACTTTAAAAATCGAAAATGTAAATTATTCAATTTTTCGTTAGAATATTTATAATTGTTTTGCATATGAAAGAAAAACTTTAGAATAGTTTTAGCAATTTTAAAAATTCCAACAGTCAGAGCCGGTAGCGAATAAAGATGGGGTAGGAAGAAGTTCGGCGAAACACAATTTAAACAGGAACGTCACCCTCTCTACTATTGGTCTTTCGCTGTCATTAAATTTATTTACCAGTCAGTTTCAATTTATCGTGTTTGTGGTGATGTTCAAACCGTCAAATGCTAATCATTTAGCGTATCGGTAGCCGACGTTATGCTAATGAAAGGGGATCTTTCACAGCGCTCTCCTCTCCTCTGCACACATCCGCTACGTTGGTATTGGTCTGCAGCCTGTCCAAACACGGAGTTAGTCATAGCCTACTTGTATCTACTTCCATTACCTTATGTCTGTTCATCTAAAATCGGCCTTGTTTCGTCGCTTTATGGACCATCTCATCCGATATCCAGTATGCTAATGATTATAGATCTGGTGGTTCTAGATGTGCCGATAGAAATCATAAGTAGGCCTTGTGCAAAAGAAGCTGTAATCAACTAGTAAATTATAGATGAATATATAGAGCGAGAGATCGAAATGAAGTAGACTTTAGATGTTTGTGAAATCTTCAGTTATGTAGCGTAACTTCCGTGGCTCCAAGCTTTGTATTTCGTAAAAATAAACATCAAATAATGCTCTGTATAGTCAGATAATAACAATTAAGTTAGGAGTTCGATGATTCGTAAAATCGTTTTGCTCGATACAAATTGTGTTCATCTATGCGTGAAAAAATTGGTAAAGTGTAGACAGTCCTCGTATTATAAGATGCTTTGGCTCCGCCTTACGGCTGTTGATGACGGCAACATCTCTTACATTTTTTTCCCTTATCCTCCGTGTTGTTTAGGGAAACTCTAGCAAGTTTCAGACTAAAGTTTTTTTATTAATTGATAGACTTCTGCGTTTGTTTTTGCTCGAAAACAAA